TTATTTTGAAAATAATTTTAATAAAAATATTTATGTTAATGAGCAAAAAAAAAATAGATATTCTTGGCCAAAGATAGTAGAGACAAAGAGGACCCTGTACTCACATACTTCTAGCTAACCTGAGGATGTGCACATGAGCACTGGAGACTCCTAAGTACCTGTACAAAAGTGAGACCCTAAGTACCTGTCCAAAAGGCAAACTGGAAAATAGCCTGAACTTTGAAAATGTTCATTTCTAAACCCACAAAAAGATCCTTCAGTAGAAGATGGATGCCTTACTCCTTTGTGGTATTTGAGCACAACCTCCATCCATTAATTGGATGATCTCTAGGCTACACAGACACAGGGCAAACCAGACTTGAAAATAAAAACAAGAATTTTTTTTAAAAAACACAACAACTAGGCAGAGACCTATATCAGTGGATACACGCCACAGGGGAGAACAGATTTCATAGTTATCGCAGGCAAGTTAATATAAAAATTCTAAAGAAAAGAACCAAAAGGAAATTCTGGAGTTAAAAAGTATAATAACTGAAATGAAAAGTCTGCTAGAGGGGCTTAACAGTAAGTTCTAGAGAACAGAAGAATCAATAAACCTAAAGACAGAATTATCATTCTAAAGAATATAGAGAATAAAAGATTAAAAGAAAGTGAACAGAGCATCAGAGACCTGTGGAACAAAATCGAGCATACATATAATAGGAGTCTTCAAAAGAAAAAAGAGAGAAAAAGACATAAAAAATATTGGAAGAAATAATGCCAAAAATTTTCCAATTTGAAGGAAAAACACTAATCTACCAATTCAAGAAATTCAATGAACCAGAAGTAGAATAAATACAAAAAGAAAAGATCTATATCTAACAGCAACACAAACTGTTGAAACCCAAATGCAACACAAACTGTTGAAACCCAAATGCAAAGAGAGTATCTTTAAAGCAGCAAGAGAAAAACAATTCTTCCTGTAGGGGGAACATCAATACAATTAACAATTCACTTAACATCAGAACAATGGAGGCCAGGAGTTAGTGGGATGACATGTTCAAAGTGCTGAAGCATAAAATAGTCAACCGAGAATTCTATATTCAGCAAAACTATCCTTCAAAAGTGAAGACCTATTATTTATCACTGTTCTCCCCTTCCTCTTATTTAAAAAAAAAAATCAGTTACCTTCAGAATCATGTCACTCAGTTTTAACACTTTCTCTCCCTTTGTTGCTGCCATCATTCAATTTCCCAGTTGTTCATTACAACCTTGCTTTCCAAATCATCTTGCCATTAGGCCAAGAAACTTCAATAATCACATAGACAATCCATGCAAACCCTGCCTCTTGGTTTACTGAAGCCATCACTAAAAACCTTCTCTACTCTACCTCAGTTCTCTACTTCCTCAATTTTTATGTTGTTATTACCAAAACTGACCCAATTACAAAATCAGTAATTCAGGTACCCCACCTTCTAACCATAACCCCAATTTTTCTAGATAACTATTCAACTACTTCACTATGATTACTCTTTGACTTCACTAATGTATGCATATATGTGCATCACCAATTCACTGATCTGTCTTGATTTTCCATTAGCCCCATTCTGTTTTCAAGATTTTAATCACACTCTGGCAACTGATTCCTTCTTGCCCTTTTGTTGTACAAATAGCCCAAGACCCAAACAGCACATGTTTAGCAAAATTAAAAGTCAAAAACTGAGAAAGAATGACTTTTAACATATAAAAATATCAGAATAAAAAAAGGAGTAGGAAACCAATAGAAAAATAGGCAAAGCCAGACACTTCACAAAAGGAAATACCAACTGCTCCATATCTGGTTCAACCTCACTAATAATCCAGTATTTCAAAATTAATACCATTCTTCATCCATCAAAATTTGCAAATTTAAATATTTGATAGGCAAGACTAACAAGGGTCCAATGAATCTACCATTCTCATACACTGCTAACAGGGGCATAAATCACTACATTTCTGAAAAAAGCAATTTGGCAATCTCTTTTAAGATTCCATAAAATGTGTTTTCCCTTTGACCTCTTATAGAAAGGAAGATTTTAAAAATAATAGAAATCACAGAGGAAGATATTCATCACAATGTTAAAAACAATATAACTATAAAATATTTGGAGAATGGTTCCATATATCACATAACAACATGTCATATTACACACTCGGAATGTGACTTCAAGAACAAAATAGATTTAAATAAAACTGTAGTGCTACTCCAAATCCAGGGCTAGTTCTGGTCCCAAAACAAATGATATAGGTTTACTTTTCCCTGCTCTTTCCCTTTAAATACACCTAAAATTCCCAGAAATAATTCAACAGACAATCACAAAAGAACTCTGAAAGGTAAAAAGAGGAAAGCAGAGAGGCCAGGGGACTCAAGACTTGAAGAACAACACGGCATTAAATTTCCCAAGTTTTCTATTAATCTGCTATAATTCCACATTGGGCAATAGAAAGTCCTGAAACACAGAACTGTCAACAGACATAGATGTAAAAAAAAAAAAAAAATACCAAGCCTGCTCTCTCTTCTCTTGCCCTAAGAAGGAAAAGGACAGTCTAGCAAAGACCCAGGAGAGGAGTCGCATCCTGAACTCCATACTTGGAGTTGCAGGAGCACCCACTATGCCAGAACAAGTAGTGCCAATTAAGACCAGACAGGGCAACTTCATCCCCAGGCCCACCTCTAGAGCAGAAGGTAGGCCCATACCAACCACACCAGCAGCACTAGTAGGCAGAGCTGGCATTTCTCAGTTGTTCACCCAGCAGCAAAGGCTGATGCAGATCCAATGTTTCCCAACTCCCTACCCAGCAACAAAAAGTGGCCCAGTGGAAGAGCCTTCCATCTCCACAGGTAATACCAACAGGGATTGAATGGGAGCCCACTGGAGCCAGATGGCAGCCCACATGATGGGCTTGGGAGAGTGCTCACAGATTTATGAGCCCAGCATCTCCTCCCAACTCTCCACCTACCAGTACTAGGCCCAGGGAAGTCCACTCCACATCGAAGGTGGCATGAGCAGGAACTCAATGCAAGACCCAGCAATAAAAATCAGATCAGAAAAGCACTGCATAGGCTCCAAAAATCAAATTATCACTGGAACCACAGCCCACAAAAGTATACCAGGACCTATATACAAAACCTAAACAGGGCAACTGCCTACTAAAATGGATGATTTAAATAGGATCAAGAGTCTCCCTAACATAATATATAAAATGCTCAGGATATTGTTAAAAATATAAAAATCACTCATCATACAAAGAACCCTGAAAAACCTGAAAAAGAAAAGATAATTAATTGATACCAACACTGAGATGAATCAGATGTTGAAATTATCTAACAAGAATTTTAAACCAGCCATCATGAAAATGCTTCAACATGTAATTTGGAAGTCTTAAAACAAATGAAAAACAAAATCTCTGCCCAGAAATAGAAGTTATAAATAAGAACCAAATAAAAATTACAGAACTGAAAAATTACAACTGAAATTTTAAAAATCAATGAATATGTGCTACACAATAGAGAGGATACAATCAGTGAACTTCAGAAAAAATTAACAGAATTTACTCAATCTGAAAAAAAAACAGGCTGGAAAAAACTGAGTCTGAGGATAATGGTACAATAACAAAAGAGCTAATATTTGTATCATCAATTCACAGAAGGAGAGGAGAAAAAGGCATAGGGTTGAAAAAGTATCCCAAGAAATAATAGCTGAAAACTTCACAAGTTTGGTGAAAGACAAAAACCTACAGATGCAAGAAGCTTTGGGAACCCTCCCCCTAAAAAGAATCCAAAGAAATCCACATCAAGACAAATCATAATTAAACTTCTGAAAACCAAAACAAAGAAAAAATCTTGAAGGTAGCCAGAGAAAACAACATATTACCTATAAGTGAACACCAATTCAAATAGCGATTTCTCCTCTGAAATTATGGAACCCAGAATTCAGCAGCACATCATCTTTTAAGTGCTGAAAGAATACAACTGTCAACTATGAATTCTTATATCCAACCTAACTAAATTAGCCGAGCATGGTGCCTCATGCCTGTAGTCTCAGCTACTTGGGAGGCTTAGGCAGAAGGATTGCTCGAGCCCAGGAGTTTGAGGTTGCTGTGAGCTAGGCTGACACCACGGAACTCTAGCCCAGGCAACAGAGCAACACTCTGTCTCAAAAACAATATAATAAATTAAATATATATATATAGATAGATATATTATTCATTAAAAAAGAAAAAAACTTTAATAAAAAACTGTTATTTTTATAAAGAACTATCAATAATTTTGGAAAATACTGAAGACATAATATAAAATTTAAAAAACAAAATTATATATACAATATTGTTTTAAATATTTTTAAGCACATAAAAGAAAATGGAAAGCAATATTCCAAAATGTGACCAGGCGCAGTGGCCCACGCCTGTAATCCTAGCACTCTAGGAGGCCGAGGTGGGTGGATTGTTTGAGCTCAGGAGTTTGAGACCAGCCTGGGCAAGAGCGAGACCCTGTCTCTATTAAAAACAGAAAGAAATTAGCTGAATAACTAAAAACATATATATAAAAAATTAGTCGGGCATGGTGGTGCATGCCTGTAGCTACAGCCTCGAGAGGCTGAGGCAGGAGATCTCTTGAGTCCGGGAGTTTGAGGTTGCTGTGAGCTAGGCTGACGCCACGGCACTCTAGCCGCGGCAACCAGAGTGAGACTCTGTCTCCAGAAAAAAAATTCCAAAATGTCCAAAATGTTATCAGTGATTGCCTCCTGGTAAGAACTTAAGAATTTTTGCTAGTTTTATATTTTCCAATTTTTCTAAAGTAGCCGTTACTTTGTAAATACTTCCTAGTGTAATATTACCAGTGTATAATTAGAATTCAAACCACAATGTATTACAACTAGTGATACAAAAAGTTAACACTCAAAGACCACGATTAATTCTGTAAAAGAATGGGAACATCTTCAATGAAATGATATAGCACAAGAATGTCATCTTTTACATACCTGTGAATCTGTCCATTTTTATGTAGGTATTCCAACCCTTCCAGTACTTCTCGAAGTATTGTAGCAATGGTAGGTTCATCTAGAACTCCACTTTTGTGTTCCCCCTTTGCCACAATATGCTTAATAATATCCAGAACAGAACCTGAAAACAGAAGGTATAGTTTTTTAAAATGTTTAACTTATTCAATATAATTCAGATCCATTTTGGAATCAAAACATACATGAACCTTTTCATAAACTGAATTGTGTAGGAAAGGAAAAACAGCAAATGTGAGGAAATATATAAGTTTAAAATTAATAATTTATTCTCAATTCCAATCTAAAACATAAAAAGTAGCCTGCTAATATCCAAATAGTATGTTATGTCAGCATCTCCTTTTGACTTCTAATAAGAATTTGGAAAAGGTAGTAGAGAATATTTAACCACCCACCCCTGAAGAATTCTTAGGTAAACCACACCCATCAATGACACCCCAGTATAAGATACCACAAACCAGTGTAGGCTTTCAACACCAGATTCAACTATGCTGTGTTGAGTAAAGATGTAAAAACATAGTTGAAGTGCAAATCAAATCAGAGATGAAATATTTGGAAAGATCACATAGATATAAAAACTAACTTAAGGGCTAAAATTATTTTTCAGGTTAATAAATGATAGAAAGAAAATAGGTAAGGCAAAGACAAATATGAAAAGAATAAAAATGGCAGTTCCCTTTAAATAACAGACCAGATACATTATCAATCCCATTCTTCCTAGGATAGGAAATAATGCTCCTACTAAAGACTGGTGGGCGAGGGTGTGAAGACATGCACATAGTAATTAAAATCACTGAGTACTGACTACCAAAACTGATAATTATAATCAAAAAAATCTGTCAAGATTCATAAGATTTATGGCAGTACGATGGCCCATAAAAGATCACAGAATTAAAACAAAACAATCTCCAATATTAGAAACTGTGCCAAGATGTCTGGAACATAACATAGACTGCACTAGTAAGATTCAATATCCATTTCTTGGCACAAGACCTCAATGCTCAAGACTAAAATCTAAACAACCACTTACACAGTTCTGTTGAAAACTCACCCTACTGGATACTTTTACTTCACCCACTTAAAAATTCCAAATACACGGAAAGAAGTGGTCTAGACGGAATTCTCAAAAACAAGAAGGATTGAACACGAGCTTACTTTAGCTCCCACTTAAAATCCACTAATTTATTAAACTTGATTTTTAAAAAAGGCATAAACCCATAATGAAAAAAAGTAACAGGAAAGATAACATAAGAGAGATGGCAACAATATTCTGGATAATAGAATACAGAAAAAGAAAAACTGACTAAGCAGAATGGAGAAATATGAACGTCAGTGCATGTAGGGGATGTGTGCCATTTAGGAAATAGTGATCCTTGTAGAATACTTTGAAGTCTGGTAATGTGATATCTCCAGATTTGTTCTTTTTGCTTAAGATTGCTTTGGATATCCAAGCTCTTTTCTGGTTCCAAAGTGTAGCATTATTTTTTCTAAATCTGTGAAATATGACGTTGGTCATTTGATGAGGATTGTATTGAGTTGGTAAATCACTTTGGATAGTATGGACATTTTAACAATGTTGATTCTACCTATCCATGAGCACAAGTATTTCCCTTTGTTTGTATCTTCTTTGATTTCTTTCCTCAGAATTTCGTAGTTCTCTTTATAGCAATCTTTCACCTCCTTGGTTAAGTATATTCTAGGTATTTTATTTTCTTTGTAGCTATTGTGAATGGTATTGAATCCTGAGACTTTGCTGAATTAATTTATCAATTCCAAGAGACTCTTGGTGGAATATTTCGGGTTTTCTAGATACAAGATCATATTGTCAGCAAAGAGCAATAGTTTGACTTCCTCCTTCCCAATTTGGATACACTTAATTTTCTTCTCTTGCCGGATCGCTCTAGGTGGGACTTCCAGCACTATGTTGAACAGAAGTGGTAACAGTGGGCATACTTGTCTTGTTCCAATTCTTAGGAGGAATGCTTTCAATTTTTCCCCATTCAGTATGATGTTGGTTGTGGATCTGTCATATATGGCTTTTATAATTCTGAGATATGTTCCTTCTATGCCTAGTCTGTTGAGGATTTTCATCAAGAAAGAGTGCTGGATTTTGTTGAATGCCTTTTCTGCATCTATGGAGATGATCATACGGTCTTTGTTTTTGTTTCTGTTTATGTGGTGAATCACAAGGCTATAGAAACCAAAACAACATAGTATTGGTACAAAAACAGAGACACAAACCAATGAAACAAAACAGAGAACCCAGATATAAAACCATTTACCTACAACCAACTGATCTTTGACAAAGCAAACAACATACACTGGGGAAAAGAAGCCCTATTCAATAAATGGTGCTGGAAAAACTGGATAACCACAAGCAGAAGAATGAAATAGGATCCCTACCTCTCACTACTCACAAAAATTAATTCAAGAGGCATAAAAGACTTAGATCTAAGGCATGAAACCATAAAAATTCTAGAGGAAAATGTAAGAAAAACTCTTATAGATATCGGCCTAGGCAAAGAATTTATGACTAAGACCCCAAGAGTAATCATGACAACATCAAAAATTAATATTAATAAATGACCTAATAAATGGGATTTGATTAAACTAAAAGCTACTGCACAGCTAAGGAAACAACTACAGAGCAAACAGACAACCTACAGAATGGGAGAAAATATTTGTAAGATACACATCCGATAAAGGGCTGACATCCAGAATTTACTAAGCAAATCAGCAAGAAAAAAACAAACTCTATTTAAAAGTGGGCAAAAGACATGAACAGAAGCTTCTCAAAAGAAGAAAGTGGCCAATAAACATATGAAAAACTGCTCAACATCACTAATCATCAGGGAAATGCAAATTAAAACCACAATGGGATATCACCTTATCCCAGTTAAAATGGCTTTTATTAAAAAGTCCAAAAACAATAGAGGCTGGCATGGATGTAGAAAGGAACGCTTATACACTGTCAGTAGGACTGCAAATTAGTACAACCTCTACGGAAAACAGTATGGGGATTCCTCAAAGAACCAAATGTAGACTTACCATTCAATCTGGCAATCCCACTATTGGGTATTAATCAAAAGGAAAAGATGACTTTTCATCAAAAAGATACCTGCACTGGATTATTTATTGCAGCACAATTCACAACTGCAAAGATGTAGAATCAACTGGATGGAACTGGATACCATTCTCCTAAGTGAAGTATCTCAAGAATGGAAAAACAAACATCACTATTAAATTGGAACTAACCAATGAGCACACATGCGCCCGGAGGGAAGTAAAACTCAGTGGAAATCAACCTGGGAAAGGGGGAGGAGATGCGGGGCAAAAACCTACCTAATGGGTAGGTACAATGAACACTATTTGGGTGACAAGCACACCTACAGCCAGGACTCAAGCATTACAAAAGTGATCCATGAAACCTAAAACATTTTTACCTCCTTAATATTTTGAAATTAAAAAAAGGAATAGTGATCCCTACCCAGTAAGAGTTCAGAACTACACACACAAACAAAGTACTGCATAAGGGAAAATGAGGAGAGAGTGAAAGAAAGTGTTGAAAACAGGAAAACTAGTCAAAAGTTCAGATAAGGGAAAATAAGATTCCCAGATCCCTCCTCCTCCCTGTAAGCCAACCCACTAATACTCTCCACCTCCAGTAGGAGATAGGCAGTTTAGTCTCTAGAGACAATGAACCAGAGAGGTGCCAGACAGTGTTTCCAGATAGCTTTTCCTAATACATTATTACATTGGTTCTTTCCCCTCTCCATTGCTGGGATTCACAAGTTGGTGATCTAAAAGGGGAGAGGCCTAAGGGAGAAGTTTGTTCTACTTAGTTCAATGACCCACACATTAATCTCCAAAGCAAAGTGATTATAATAATGGGCCACATGCTCCACTCTTCCAAGAAACCCTGGCCACACAAGTACTGCTTAGTAAGAAGACATTCATATAAACACTGATCAAGTTCCATGTTTGTAACAAAGAATACCTAAAATAAGGAATGCAAAGGAAAAATTCCTACTGGAAATTAAAAATGAACACAATCTATTCATTTAACAATTAAGCCCTATTATATTATATGTAAAATCTACAACTAGATGTCACAGAATATGACAAGATACATATGACATGATGGCTTACTTTAAAGGAACTTCCAATCTGGTAGATCAAAGAAATGGTGCAACAAAGATTTTAAGGCACGTTAAAAAGTTACTAATCTGTAAAGAGCTTGAAGCAGGAGTTCCTTTTCAAAATTTTAGAAGATTTTTATTGATTTCACATTATCCAATGAGCAACAGGGAAATGAAAGCAATGCACATTCCCAGTCTATGTCCAGAACAGACATTCTGAACAAAGCTTACATAAGAAACCTCCTCTTCTTTGGCATGACAATTTCTTTTTGGTTTCAGTCTCCTCCCGACAATATAATTTTTGCAGGTGGAGGAATTATCATGCCATTAAGACCTTCATCTTTAACTGACAGATACTGGTTCTGGAAGGTTCCCCCTTCTTATCCATTTGTTTTCTTCAGCATCTTGTAACCTCTAACTAGATGATGATGGTGCTTGCAATCCTCCTTCCTTAAACATCAAAATTACACAAAATAGGCCAGGTGCAGTGGCTCATGCCTGTAATCCTAGCACTTTGGGAGACTGAGGTAGGAGGATTACTGGAGCCCAGGAGTTCAAGATCAGCCTGGGCAATAAATAGCAAGACCCTTAAAAAATTAGTTGGGCATGGTGGCACATGCCTAAAGTCCCAGCTATTCAGAAGGCTGAAGTAGGAGGATTGCTTGAGCCCAGGAATTTGAGGTTACAGTGAGCTATGATCAGGCCACTGCACTCCAGCCTGGGCAACAGAACAAGACACTATCTCAAAAAAAAAAAAAAAATACATTAAATTCTTCATGTCAACTAAGAGAAAGGAGAAGAAAAAATATGCCATGTGATAAGCATACTGTCACTGAATGACTCAGTTAATGCCTGAAGAAATGTAGGAATGACAGGGGAAGGTTACAATAGCATATATGATATTATGTCCTCAGGCACAATTTGTAAGAAATATTCCACAGAGGTCATCAGTTCTCAAACTTTAACATGTGAAGGAATTACTTGGCAAGCTAGCAAAAAAATGCAAATTCCTAGACCCTACATACAGATTGTCATTTAAGAGATCTGAGGTAAGGCTTAAAGAGCTGCATTTTAAAAGGCATTTAACAACCTAGGCTACTTTGATGAAAGCTGTCTATTAAAATCTAAGCATGGCTGAGGCATGGTGGCTCATGCCTGTAATCCTAGCACTCTTGGAGGCCGAAGAGGGAGGACTGTTTGGAGCTCAGAAGTTCGAGACCAGCCTGAGCAAGAGTGAGACCCTGTCTCTACTAAAAATAGAAATATAGAAAAAATTAGCCGGGCATGGTGGCACATGCCTATAGTCCCAGCTACTCTAGAGGCTGGGGCAGGAGGATTGCTTGAGCTCAGGAATTTGAGGTTGCTGTAAGCTAGGCTGACGCCACGGCACTCTAGCCTAGACAACAAAGCGAGACTTTGTCTCAAAAACAAACAAAAAACTCTAAGCATTTCTCAGAGCAAAAGCAAATAAATCAAATAATGGAAAATAAGGGTATTTGGTACAAATTTTCTAACAAAGCAAAAAGTTTAAATGTAGATCATCTATTCCCTCAAAAAGATCTGCTCTCAGCCTTCATAGCCTGTGGCACAGAATATTTAAAAAGCAATGCAAAACTTTAACTTCCAGGAAAATCATTACTGAATATCAAAATAATACTGACAAAATAATAATAATAATATTGACAAAGTAGTGAAGCAGCTACTGGCTTAAGATACTTGTTAAATCTGACAATTATAGCTCAGTCAAATCAATTACTTGGTTAACATGTCAATTTCTCAATTTACTTCTATGAAAAGATACTCTTTGAATACAAAATGAACTTGTTCAATTTAGTTACTAGTATCTCCACTAAGAAATTTTAATCAATCTTTATCCACTAGGGGTTATTGTTTGTATCTTTCTGAGCCACAGAAAGTTGGAAAGGCCAAAATTTGCTTGCTTTCTCTAAGTATTCCATTTCAGACCAAAAGACATTGCAGAAATTTAAAAACCCTCTACTGCTGCTTGAACTTTCAAAGCTGGTCACTAATATCAGATATTTCACCTGGATCCTGCTAAAACAAGGAAGTCCTTATGCATTTTATGTCTTAGAAAATAACAAAATTGAGGGCATTCCTAAATCACTATCTAAGACAATGAATTTAAATTAGATCTCTGCATTTTTACACTTACTCCCTTTAAGTGCTATAGGTACTCTTTTTTCCTCTCAGAAGTTTTCTTAATTACTTTGATTTCTAAAACTCTTACACTGCAGTTTGGTGCTAATAAATTGTAGAAATAGCTCTTTAGACCAAAAGTGCTTCTAATTTCTAAAGTTTAACTTCTGGTACTAATAAGTCCCAACATACAACATCAGGATTTTAATTAGCAAAAGATAAGAATATTACAGTTATAAGGAGGCATGATGAAAAGATAATAGTGACACACTTAAACTTATTTTAACCAGATGTCCACCTGGTTGATGGATTTAAGAGTGATCGTTATTATTCATTTTATGATTTAATTAGTTTATTAAATTCTACATCAGTACAATGTTGCTACATCAAAAATATGCTTTTAATATTTTGAGGGAAAAAGTTAATATGAAAAGAGGTCCCTTACACATATTTCTGTTAACTCTGATTATTTATATATTTTTTAATTACTCAAAGGGAGTCCCTGTTTATCAGTAAGCCTCATCCAATGGTCCTCTTCTCTCACTTCTTCTGCCCCAGACATGACTCTCCATCAGTTCTCGAGATATTCCATTGTCCTCCATACTGCCCACGTCCCCTTTCATGCAGTGTTCCCTCATCTGGATCATATCTCCTTCTCTTCCCCTGACACCACCTCCAACCCCTATTTCACTTGGCTAATTATGCTTTGGGTCTCACTTGGACATCACTTCCTAAGGAAAGCCTCTGTTAATACCACCACATTCATTCTCCCTCAGTAAGATTAAGTTCTCCTGGAACTTGCTCCCATAGCACCTGGTACTTCTTCACAGTACTCTATTCACTTGAATTACTTAATTCTCACCTTTTATTATTAGCTAAAAGACCCCTGAGAACAAGAAATTGACAGTTTTATTCACCACAGTACTAGTGATAAATAAGTATTTGATTAATGGCATTTTAATTGAGCTATAATCCTGACACAGTTTCCTACTTAGAAAAATTTTTTAAGCTGTGTTCTAGTTTTTGTTTTCTAAATATTGTTTAATGTATCTCTTTAAATGCTTATTCACTTATAACAAAATATTTCTTTTTCCTTAAAAAAATACAAAATTTTTAATATTTAAAAGAGTTATTAGATATAATGGTTATGTTGACTCATAAAAATGTAAGTAACTATAGAAAGTTATGACTAGAACATGTTTGAAAATTATCCTCTAGGAAATTTCCTGAGTGCTAGGCTGGAAAAACTGGGCACTGTCCCAGAAAATCTTAAGTCGAGGAGGTATAAAGAGCTACATTTAAAAGATATCCTACGCATTTACATTTTCTGCCCCTTCCGTGATCAGGACATATGTTCACTGAGAGAGGAACAGGAATTCTTAAAAACAAAAAAGTCATTCTTGGCGGGGCATGGTGGCTCACTCCTGTAATCCTAGCACTGTGGGAGGCCGAGGCAGGTGGATCATTTGAACTCAGGAGTTCGAGACCAGCCTGAGCAAGAGTGAGACCCTGTCTCTACTAAAAGAAATAGAGAGAAATTAGCTAGACAACTAAAAATATATATGTACAAAAAATCAGCCGGGCATGGTGGCGCTTGCCTGTAGTCTTAGCTACTTGGGAAGCTGAGATAGGAGGATTGCTTGAGGCCAGGACTTTGAGGTTGCTGTGAGCTAGGCTGATGCCATGGCACTGTAGCCCAGGCAACAGAGTGAGACTCTGTCTCAAAAAAAAAAAAAAAAAAAAAGTCATTCTACTTAAAAGTAACAGAAAGGATGGGCTAGCATACAGGTATGGAAGAGAAAATCAAGCAGACAATTTATTCACCCTATTCATTAGGATTTTTGCAAAATATTAAAAATTTTGTATTATACACTTTTGTAAATTACAAATAAATAAAATTATGCTATAGGTGATCAATAATGAAAGATACAGTATTACCTAATATTCCCATATCACTCCATACTGAAAGAACCATGCTTGACCACCATCTTGAAAGGTGGTTGGTGTTAGCAAGGCTTCCAACCATCATATGAACAGGGCCTTTAACAAAGCAATCCAGTTTCTCCAGTGTGTCACTAATGGGATTGAAACAAAAAGGTGATTCTGGCTACTCTGAAAGCATCAAATAGCAAGGGATTATTACTATTAATAAGTACAATTTCTTGTGCATCTATTATATGTCAGCACAGTGGTGGATGCTTTACACACATCATCACGTTTACGCCTCACCAATACTTTGAAATCAGAAACGTATCCCCATTTAAAAGACAAGTAAAAAGGTTGAAAAAATTCAAACAGTTTTCCCAATGGCATATAATTTCCAAGTAGGAGAGCTGAAATTTAATTCTAAAGGCTATGCTTTCTCCTTTACAGCCTCTCTGGGGAAGGAAGGTGAGGCACAGTATTAAAATTGCAAACTAAACAAAGATAGATTTTCTTTTCTGTAATTCTACATTCTAAAATGGAAAATCATACTCCCCCACAAGATACATATGTAAACAAAAACTGACAACATAGTGATGGGAAGGCTAGGGTGGCTCCATCATTCACTCATACTACCAGTCCTGCCACCATGATTCAAATGCATGCCTTGGCAAAATACCTAATTTACTACACAACATGGGCCTTCAAATAGCCATAACAAAATGTTTGTCTATATATGCCAAGGGTCCACTATTTGCAGTCAGCAACACTTACATTTTATCATAAGGATAAAATAGAAATAATTGTATATAGCACATAAGGATAAAGCACGTAAGTAATTATGCTAATACTGGGGACCAAGATTTTCTGTGTAAGAGAAAAGAGATGCAAGTATAATATTAAAAAAGTTTTAAAAGTCTATGATATTAAACTTGAATTAGAAATATTAAGGTCAAATTATGATTTATTTTTAATGTTATATTTCCAAGCTCTAGAAGCAATGATACTGTAGTAGCAATGAGCACCCCAAGCATCTCAGCTATGCTTTCTAAATATCATTCTCCAGTTAAAAATATCAGAGTTCATTACAGTATTAGCTGATTCTGGGTCTGGGGAAAGGAATATAAGTGTGAGCTTAGGAAATCTTTGAACTAAAAAGCAAGGATGTAATCAAAGATGGATGGGTTTGTGTCAAAAGGACACAAGAGTGACCCTGAAGGGACTCTCACAAATAAAATTTTGGACAACCCGAGCATCAAAAAGAATAGACTATAACTGCTTGAAAGACATCAAATATATAGAAATCCTTGCATCTACAATGATACTCAAAAAAGCGAAGGCTCTACCCAACTGGAGAAAGGAAAAAAAAAAAAAAACCCTCTCATTTGCTACCATTGGAGGTAATTATTCTATCAACTTTTTACTCTGAAAATTGGTCATTTAAAAAAATGAATCAATTATTTATCCTGCCTTTTCAGTAAGAACTACAGTACAGATTAATCAAAGAGCCCTAGTTGATAAGACAAATTCCTCTTCACAGAAGAAAGCCAATTTATAAATGTAAAAGAGATGATGCAATAAGAAAAGTCACCATTTACAACCTCTCATGAAATAACTGATTCAAATAAGAACTATTAATGAATGCCAAAATCATCAGACAAAAGGCTTAGGGGGAACTGGATACTCACTATGCCCAAGTATCATCTCACAGATTACTTGCTAGCTGCAAAGGGAAAAATGTTAACTTTTCCATGGGGAGGTCTGGCTGCCATAATCTTAAGCAAAAAAAAATTAACATCGCTATTAAAGATACAGCCAGATAGCAAATATTTCCAGACGTGATGCAATATAAATTACACAGCATCACCCACAAAGTATTCTGCCCAAAATTATTTAACCTGAATTTAATCAAGCCTTTAGATCTAATTTGTAATACACAAAAAATAGAGGAATATAGAGCAAGTAAAATATCACCAAGAAGAAATAATCAGATAAATCCAGAATATGGGACAAGATAACTAGACCAGATCCTTCAATAAGTTTCTGTCATGGAGAGAAAGAAGGGAGAGGGATACAGCCTAAATTGAGGGATTTAAGAAACATGACAACCAAATACAAGATGTGAAACCTGTTTCACCTCCTATATTAGCATCTTCAACAAATACTACATTCTCAATATCTCCTCAAATGCAAATATCCATGAAAACAAAATCATGATAAAAAAGAAGGAAAACTGTATTAACTTTTCAACCATGGAACTTAGTATTTCATTGTACTCTACTCACCTCCACTTAGCAGCTTCATGACTAGCCACAGTTCATCTTTTACCACAAAAGATGTGTAGTAAGACACAATATTAGGATGATGGCACTGACTCATGGCTTGAATTTCTTTCTACAAAGAAGAGAAAATGTGATAGTTCATTACATACAAGTCTAAAACAAATGATGCAAGTTAGCAAATCCAAATTTGGGAATCTAAAGACTATGTCACAACCTTTCTGATGTCTCCATGGCTCTGATCTCTTCAAGAATGGTTAAACAAAAAAACCCACTTGGTTTCCCTCAGTCCATTCTGACTCTATTCCTTCCACTCATTCATTACAGTAGTGATCTCTGAAACTAGAAGTATGCACTACTTATCACACCTGGCACAGCATCACAGGAGGCCTCCATTGGGACACATATTTTTACTTCTAGGTGTCCTGCAGAATCCTCTTGGGTAATCTGGTTTTATAACCACAGAGAATAATTAGAAATAAACAGTGGGTTTTTTTGTTTGTGTAGGTTTTATTTATTTTTTAATAAAATATTACTTTACTCAATTTTTGTGAAATGATTAATAGTTCTCACACAAAAGAGAAACAAACTAAAATAAGACAAGGTCATAAACTAAATCCAGAGTAGAAACCTGAGCCATAAGTCTAAGCTCACTCTATCTCAGTTTATAAATTTAAATTAGATTTGGTGTGATAAAATGCTTTATAAAGTCCTACATGATTAGGGCCCTGGTTACCTCTTTGATCTCATTCCTATCCCCCTTCATACACCTGTCCTATAATTCAGCCACAGAAAACATCGAGTGAGCAATGCTGCTTCTAACTCTGGACATTTAATCCTATTACTCCCTTGTCTCAAATATATTTCCTCCATCATCTTTGCCTAGCTAACTCCAATTCTTTCTTCTGTCCAGATTCATTTCCAACCAGCTCCCCAGGATGACTCAGGAGCCCCTACTCTTAGCTTCCAAACACCATGTATATCTCCTCCCATCATGGTACAATGTACTAGGATATTACATCGTGTCAAATTGTGCAGGGTCTTAAGTGTCAAGCTAAGGGTTTTGAGCTTTAACCTGAAAAGGGGAGTACTACAAGGGTTTTTTAACAGAGGACTATCAAAGAACCATAAAATTCAAAGATTAGAACGGCCTTAAATATTTCTTTTCTTCCCTTCTATTCCTTTAAAGGAGGAGGAGGAATCTTCCCCTACCTTAATTCCCACAAGAGATATCTTTTTCCCTTTCTTTTCAAAAACAAAAATAAATACCTAAATGATTTGCAAGAATAGTCTATTAATTCTGATTCAAATTTCCCAGAAGTTTCTTCAACACTTATAAAGTGAATTCCACCCCTTCTAATGAAAAACTGCTTTCTTGAAAGTCCTTTATTATCTGCTAATGCCAGATTTTTTGTTTGGACTTTTCAGTTTTCCACCTCAAGTTTTCTGAAGCACTTTTTTAAATAGTGACTTTTCATTCCCTTATAAAACTCACTTACCTTGATTTCTACCACTTACTCTCTGGTTATCTATTTACTCAAATGTACACAGTTTTCTTCCATTTCACACAATTCAATCAGTCCTCATGTAAATGTTAAATTATTCACTCATTCATTCATACACAGTAAACAAAATAAAGTCTCTGCCCTCATGGAGTGCTCACTCTAGTAGTAACAAATTTTCCCTCTAGGAAATCTGTGCCCTCCTTTCCATTACCAATGCCACTGCCTGAATTTAGAGTCAACACTTTTCTGCATAGCCCAGGGTCAAACCATGAATTGCAACCTATATGGGTCACAAAATAAACTTAGTGGATTGGATTTTTTAAAAAGAAGAGGAGAGAGAATAAAAAATGACAGCAAATTTCACATAATTAAGAATTGTTTCAGCCAGGCGCGGTGGCTCATGCCTGTAATCCTAGCACTCTGAGAGGCCGAGGTAGGCGGATTGTTTGAGCTCAGGAGTTCAAGACCAGCCTGAGCAAGAGTGAGACCCTGTCTCTACCAAAAAATCAAAAAGAAATTAGCTGTACAACTTAAAATATATAGAAAAAGTTAGCTGGACATGGTGGTACATGCCTGTAGTTCCAGCTACTCAGAAGGCTGAGGCAAGAGGTTGGCTTGAGCCCAGGAGTTTGAGGATGCTGTGAGCTAGGCTGATGCCACAGCATTTTACTCTGGACAACAGAATGAGACTGTCTCAAAAAAAAAAAAAAAAGAATTGTTTCATGAAAATGTTTCAGTTATATTAATACTTATGAATATATATATATATCTAAATACTACTGAGTCATAATATAATGTATATTTCCTAGTGTGGGTCATCATGAAAAAAGCTTTAAAGTTGTTGGTCTGGACTACAGGAAAGCCTACTAACTAGTCTCTTTGCCTCTGGTCTCTTATTTCTCTGCAATTCACTCTGCCAACTGTTATGGAATTAATTAACCCACGAGGATGGCTATTATCAAAAAGATGACAATAAAAGTATTGCTGAGAATGCAGATAAATTGAAAACCTCATACATTGCTGGTGGAAATGTAAAATGGTGCAGCCACTTTGGAAAACAGCTTGGCCATTCCTCAAAGAGTTAAATACAGAGTTACCATATGACCCAGCAATTCCACTCCTTCTCATATACCTAAGAGAACTGAAAACAGATGTACACATAAAAACTTGTACACAGATGTTCATCAAAGTATTATTCAAAAATGCCAAAAGATGGAAACAACTCAAATGTCCAATAACTGATGAATGGATAATGACTGGTGTATCTATATGATGGAATATTCGGCAAAAAGGAATAAATATCTGATACATACCACAACATGGATGAACTTTGGAAACATTCTAAGTAATAGCAGATACAAAAGGCCACATCTCATTTATATGAGATGTCCAAAATAGGCAAATCTATAGAGACAGACAGTAGATTAGCTGTTGCCTAGGGCTAGAGAAAAGAAAATAATGAAGAGTGACTGCTAATGAGTATGGAAGGTGATAGTGGTGATAGTTGCACAACTTTGTGAATATTCTAAAAACCACAGCATTATATATTTTAAAAGGATAAATTTTATAGTATGTGAATTTTATAGATGAATTTATTTTAATAAATTGTTAACATAGAACTAAACTTCCTAAAACTCAGTTCTGATTAAGTCATTTCTGTTCAAAAAATATATATTCAAAGACACATCCCTCTATACCCATCATCCCCTATTGAATAAAATCCTAATTTTTTCACCCATTATTTCTTCTTTATGGTCTCTAGTTTCTCTGCTATTCTTTCCTGATTCTAAACCCCTGTCTGGCAGGGTCTCCATCTCTGCCTGTTCAAAGTCTACCCAGCCTTGGTGGCCCACGCCACAAACGTCTCCACAAAGGCCTCCATTTTCAAAACTAGAAGCTCTCTTCCTCCTCCACATTACTTCATACCTTTCCTGAGGCATCTGTACCCTCTGCCTTATACAGTTGGCAACAGCCTTAATTCTTCAACTAGATTGTGAGACTCTTGATAGAAGGAAAGACACTTTCTCTTGATGACCCCTCTGATGTCTGTCCAATGAATTTAGTCCTAGCATCTACCAGAGAAGAGAAAATCTCAAAATAGTGCACAGTGTGCCTTTCTTACAGAAAGGCCTATGCACACAATCTCTAGAGATAACAAATGTAGTAAGACTTGATAGTTGATTTTCCCATCACACTTAGCAAAGGTCATCCTACAGAAATTATTTTGACAAAAGGAAGACAATATACTGCCTCCTCACTAACAACTGCCACAGGTGATACACACCTGTAAGCCCAGTACATCAGCACTCTTTGGAGAACCCAGAGCACCCTTTCTGTATTACAATAAAGAGAGCTTTGAAAATAAATTTTAATATCACAACTTCAAAAGTTTAGTATGTTGATTTCATATTCTTTAAGGTAAGCTAAAGGGTTTCCTATCTCTCAGAGCCCCTGGCACTCAGATCTCAGTGTCCTGTAGAATATGTCCTGAAATCATAAATAAATCAGGTATTCTTTATATTCCTGATATTTCTTTAGGGCCCAGTGGGATCTTACTTACCTGCTCCTTTTTCCCCCAGAAAAGTTGATTATCTTAAATTTGCTTTACTAAAAGTCACGTTTCTCCACTTTTGGGAATGAATGTACTAGTAGTATTAATTTAATTCAATAAAAATGCCCCAGCATAATAGCAAAAATATTGCTTTCAAGAATGTCAACTGATAATTAAAAAGAAGTGTTCTTTCTACTTTTGAACTAAGATTATAATCATTTTGTTAGTATTATACTAAGTAGACAGTAATACGCTTGAGTCAAAAAGACTCAATCCAAGACTGGATTTTTAATCCAGACTCTATCACTTATTATGATTTACTTTTCTCATCTATAAAATAAAGCTACTACCTCAGAGATGTTTACAAGGTTAAAGTACACTTAGGTGTCTAGTACTGAAAGGTATTTGCTATTATTATCATCATGTGAACTTAGCTAAGTTATTTAAACTTTGAATCTCCATTTCTTTAGTCATGAAGTAGTAAATAAGGCTTTCATTGATCTTAACACTACCCTTATGAATTACATACAATAACTGGCAAATGATAGGTATTCATATCGGGCTTCTCAAATTCCAGTCTTAATATGTAACTTAGACATTTTGTTTTTCTTTAACAAAATTAGTTTACAGACTTCTTTTATCATCACTGCAGTTCAAATGTCGAAGTGGTGTTCTAGGGTATTGCCAACATCTACAAATCCAAGATCTTCAAATAGGATTCCAATCAAAATTTCCTTCCTAGTGTGTATTCTCTCATCAAACATGGCTCAAGATCACTCCAGCAACCCACTCCTTCAGCTTCTGCTCATGCATTACCAACTCCTGAAGGGATACACTTGTCTCATCTGCTACGTAATTCTATCACCTCTTTTTCTTTCATTCCAATTATTCCCTAATACTCAGTACAGACAACACCAGAAATTAAATCCAACTTGGGAGAGTGAAAAAACTTCTGGATGAGCAGGTCATCTTGGTCCTAATCCCTGCCTTTTCTATCACTAACTATATATGCTCTTAGAGAAATTACTTAATAAAATAACAATATCAGTTCATATTTGTATGGCAGGTTAGTTTTCAAATACTGTATCATTTGAGCTTCAAGAGAAATCATATGAAGTATCCAAAGCAGGTATTATTATTTCCATGTTAATCCAAGGAAACTGAAAATTTAAAACCTTAAATGATTTTTAAAATTATCTAATTTCCCTCACTGAGCACATACTTAAAACTATTCTGGGTGTTACAATGCATAAAAGTATAAAACAATCTCTGTGTGCTTACATCTTAATGCTACAGAACACCTCTTAAAGCTTTTGCCTGGGACTCCCTTTTCTTCATCCTTTCCCTAGCCTTTGGAGAAGCCAAAGCTGCCTGGGGTTCACTTTCTTTCTCATTTTGTATCAATGGGCAGAATAAATTGGTACTATGTTTCTAGGAGGCCAAAACCTTTTAAAGGATATTCTATCTGACCCAGGAATCATAATTCTATGATATTATTTTAAGGAAACAGAGAAGCAAGTGTTGTTTGTAACAATAAAAAAAGAGGGAAACAAGGTAATCATCCAGTACCAGAGAACAGGTTAATAAATTGTGGTCTACCTATTCAATGAAATACTACACATACATTAGAAGTTACATTGATCCATATATACAGACACAGAAAGAGTTCCATGATAAATTAAAAGAGCAAGTATATTATTATATTTAAATAAAAATACAATGATATTTAAATGTTCACAGTCTGAAAGATTATATAGCAAATGTTACATAATCCTCAGAGTAGGAGGATTATACCTAATTTTTTCTTTCTACTTATCCAGATTTTATAAATTTTATGACAGACATTATTTATTAATAAAGAAATCACAAAACTTTTTTTAAAAGAAACATATCAAAAACTTCAAGTTATTTCCCACTCTAACATGAACATATATGAAAAATATGAGATGTGCATACCAGGAGTTCATCCATGCTAGTTTGACATTTCTCAAGATTTATCCGTTTGATTGCCACTTTCTCCTTTTTAGGAGTACAGTAAGCTGCTTGGACCACAGCAGTTGCTCCACTCCCTAAAAATAAAAACATAAATGAGTAAATAAATGGATATATAAAATATGACATTTCTAATTCCCACACAATTTGAAGAGAAGAATAATCTTTATCTTGTTCCTACAGTGAGTAACAAACAGATACAGAAAAACACTCTAAAGAGTGCCAATTAAAGCAAAAGCTTCAATCACCTCATATTAATTGTCAATAAATACCAGTGCAAAAAAAATTCAAAATTGCTGAGGTTCCAGTTATAGAATTTGATGGCAAAGGATCACATTTCCCTGCTCCTCTCCTCCAAATACAACTAAATATCCTAAAAATAATTCAACAGACCATCATAAAAGGACTATGAAAGGCATAAAAAGTAAACCAGCCAAGAAACTCAAGACTTCAAGAAAGCAGCACAGCGAGTTTGCTGAGTTTTCCTTTTATCTCCTACATATTCTGGAAGGAACATCAGACAGGCCTGCAACCTAGTACCACCAACAGAGATGGATGGATGAATAGACAAACAATAAATGAGAAAACTCTGCTCTCTGGCCAAAGTACTGTAAAAGGGGTATCTCAGCAGAGACCTGGTGGAGAGATATATGCCCTGGTCCCCATTCAGGACACTGGTGGGCCCAGTGCATCACAGCGTCAGCATCAGCAGGGTCTTCACCCCACATGTGAAAGAGTGGCAGGCCAGATTCACCACAGTGGCAGCTAGGCCCCCAGCCCACACCTGTGGCAATGTCAAGCCAATCTGCCCTTAGTAGAAGCAAAGCCAGGGCCCCACATCCACCAGTTACCCCAAGTAGCACCTGTAGAGATGGAACAGGAGTTCCAGTGTTGACAGAAGAATAAAGCAGAAAACAAAAGCACTGTCATACATTTGAAAGTTAAATTACCATAGGAATTACAAATCACAAAAATAGGACAGGAACTATATACTAAACCTAACTAGGGTAACTGCCTATTAAAATAGAAGAATTAAATAGGATCAAGAGTCTTCAAACATAATAACCTAAATGTCCAGAATATAATAAAAAAAGACATGTCATACAAGAACCAGGAAAAACACATCTGAATGAGAAAAGATGAGAAAAGACAATCATGCTGATGCCAACATCAAGATGAATCAGATGTTGAAATTATCTGACAAGAATTTTAAAGCAGCCATCATAAAAATGCTTCTACAAACAATTAGGAGTTCTCTTGAAACAAATAAAAAATAGAAAATCTCAGCAAAGAAACAGAAGTTTTTTTTTTTAAGTACCAAATAGAAATTATACAACTGAGACATTCAATTACCAAAATAATATTAATACGTTTGCTGGATAGGTTCAATAGTAGAGTGGAGATGGCAGAGAATAAATTCAGTGAACTTGGGGACAGGATCAATAGTTTATTCAAGCTACACAACACAGAGAAAACAGACTGAAAAAAAAGAACAACAACAAAGCTCTAGGAAGTAGGGGATAACAATAAAAGATCTAAAATCCATGTATTATGTATTAATAGAAAACCTGGGAATATGTTACCTTACGTGGCAAAAAAGGACTTTGCAGATGTTAAGGATCTTGAAACGGGAAGCTTACCCTAAACTGTCTGGATGGGCCCAATGTAAATCACAGAAGTCCTTATAAATGAAAGAGGGAGACAGGAAGGTCAGAGTCAGAGGAGATGAGAAAATGGAAGCAGAAGCTGGAGTTATACCCAAGCCAAGGAACAAATACTGATACATGCTACAACATGAATGAAGGTAAAAGGTACCTTTGGTCCCACATAACAGACATCTTCTAATACACAGATGTGTTCACTAATTCTTTATAATATTAATTTTCACAAATTGTATTATCTAGTAGTATTTCTTTTAACCAATATTAATTCTCAAACCAAGTATCTGACCCCTAGATAATCCAATATTGATTTATTTTACATATACAAAACCTGAAACATCAGCTTTATTTTTTTTTTCATATTTAACAGACTTTTATTGATGATTTAGGGTACTGGGGAGATAATATAGCACAGAACATCAGAAGATTAGCCTTCACAGTACTAACCATTTACTAGCCATTCCCTGTCACAAATAATGTCTCCACATCGTTGACCTCTTTCTTAAACTAGACTTATTCATGCTGTTCTCTCCCTTCTAAAGCCCCTACCTCCTACTCCAGGAGCTGTGGCCAGACTTAAAACTCTTCACTGAGCATTTCACTCTTTCTTTGTTTTGCCCTTACTCAAGCTATGGCCCCTTTCTCAAACAAAAAGCCCTAATAGCCCCAGTCACCTAATAGATAACGCAGTGGCATCCTAAGCCAGGGACTGTGGGTTCAAGTCTCATCTAGGGTGCCATTTAAAAAAAAAAAAAGCAAAAAGTCCTAATATTTGTAAACAATACAATTATCTACTAAGGAGATGAATCGTACTACTCTACTAGAAAGCAGAAGCAATTTAAACATCAGCTTTAATATGATAATTAATGGCATGTCTTATGTAAACCAAAACCATACTGGGGTTAAAAATATAGATAAGAGAATATTTGATTTTAAGTTTAGTTATTATTTCTTAGTCATTATTAAACACAGAATTGGTTTCTCTAAAAATGAAACACCAAACCTAAGTATTATCAATCATAATTGTTTATATACTAAAGTATCTTTCTTTCCCTCCAAGATTCACTCACTTAAAGAACAAATCTCCTAGGAGAAAGATACTAAGTTCTCGTGTGATTCAACAAATGACCAAATGACAAGTTGCTAACATTTCCAACACTCAATGATAAAAAGGCACTTGTAGGCTCCAGTTCTATTCTAACATCCATCTTCACATTATCTTCCCAAAACAAATATACTGTTTGGCAATTGAAAAATATTTTAAGGTTGTAACATGAAGGATTATGGTAATGCAGTAAAAACTACCTACTTTCAACACCACTAATTCAGAATAGCCCATGATGTTCTTTCATTAGAAAAAAATTTGCTTCACAGAAAATAGTAATTAATAATGTAAATAAGATAAGAAAGAAAATCTTAAAAATGTATTCAAAATTATTTTAACTATTCTCCAATATTTTGCATCAATCTAATAACATAGTAGAGATACAAATAAAAAATGTTTCACTTCTACTTTAAAGCAGGCTCCTTAATTCAGAGTTTTTTACTACAAGCCAATTTATGAGGTTTATCATCATTTTTCTTAGCATAAATAAAATCAAATAGAAAACATCAGTATGCACTGCACATAGTAAAGATAAATGTTATTTTATAAAACTATTACTTCAGCATAAATATGCATGCACATGAGTAAAAGGTATCTCTTAGGAATGGTTTAGTCCAAGTATGAAAGCTACTTCCCTAATGCCCTCGACTAAGCAATGGCCTCATATGAAGACTAATACAATGGAAAATTTAAAAGAATTTCCAGTAAAACAACCTAATTCAGGCTTTCACTATTGTACACTGGTGTGCATGCTCAATGCCCCACTCTACTTCTTCCACCCTACTTCTGTCCTTTCCTAGTTAGTTCTTTAACTGCAATGTTAGCATATATTAATATTAATCCACCAGAATAGATTATGTACAAAAATGTGGATGAGCTTTCTCCTAAAATCCTTCAAACTGGGTAACTCTAACCCCCTTGAGACAGAAAAGGAGCTGCCCAAGCATGAGGTAGACTAAAATATTTTTTCAGAGTCTCTCTCTACTTTACCAGACCCAGAAATTTAAGAAAGAATATAAAAATGGATATTAGTCCTACCTGTGAAGAAAAGATAAATCAAATGAATCAAATCTAATGAACATACATTCTCCCAAATTTTGGCCAGTCATCACATAATAAGTATGTATCCTAAAGATTTTTTAAAGTATTTTTTTGTAAGGTTTTGCATTCACTAAAGAAAAGCACTAGTCCAGACTATTCATTCTGAAAAACTGAGGCATATCTACCTGAACCATAAAAAACACAGGAATTTATAATTGTGTAAACCCTTTTTCTAAATAATGCCTCTTATCAGAGTCACATTGAAAATTAAGGCTCCTAGAACTGGAGAAACAGCTATAAGAATAGTCCTCATCATAAAATTCTCCCCATATAAAGATGAAAATAAAGACACACTGCCATATGCTTTGAGTAATTATTCAAGCAGCCTGATGGTTTTGCAATGAATCATCACTCGCTCTCCTGTTCACTCTGGTGATCTCCCATGTCAGCGGATGGCAACTCTTTTCTTCCAGATGCTCTTGCCAAAAATCTTGGAATCATCTTATCTCTCCTTTTTCCTCACATTTAATCCAACAGCAAATTCTCTAACTTAGAAATATTATACATCCGTAATCTGACAACTTCTCACCACCTCCCCTACTACTTTTCTCCCTTGAATAACCTCTCCTCCCAACCCTGTACCCTTATAAACCTATCCTCCACATAGCAGCCCAAGTTTTAAAACATAAGTCAGGTCATATAAAACCTCTGTTCAAAACCCCACAATGATTTTCAATCTTGCTCAAAGCAAAAGCCAAGTTTCTACAATGATTTACAATCTGACGTCAGGACCATGCATCCTTGCCACCTTACCTTTCTGACCTCTTCACCTATCTGTCTCTTTACCCTCTGTCCCACTCTGCTCTAGCCATCCTCGCCTTACTATTCCTTAATCACATCAGCATGCTTCTACTTCACAGTCTTTGCTCTTGTTCCCTGTTTGGAACAAACTTCCTGAATATAACCACACCATTCACTTCTTTACCTCCTTCAGATTTTTTTTTTTTCTTTTTTTTTTGCTACCTGGTCTGTGTCCTATCTCCTTCAGATCTTTCTTCAAATATCACCTTCTCAGTGAGCCCTTCCCTAGTCTATTTAAAATTGCAATCCCACCTCTATCCCTAATAGTCTTTAACCCTTTTCTCTTCCACTTTATTTTTCTCCTTTACTACCACTAGATTATAAACTCATGAAAGCAGGGATTTTTGTCTGCTTTCTTCACTCTTTTATCTGTAGCATCCAGAACAGTGCCTGGCACATAACAAGAGTT